TCAAAACCTTTGCACTCTAACTCACCTAGACCAGAAATAAACTAATCTAATGAGTTCCCAATATGTTGATCGTGTCCTGACCAACATACTTATATAAGACATTGTTGTACCCAAAAATTTTCCCTCTCATTTTACTCAACACACGCCTATTGAGGTCCTCAACTTGCCCAAGGATGCCCAAGAATTGATCAGACAAATTATCCTCCTAAGGCAATGAACCCCCAGATAGGGTTTCCATTTGAATCAGGATGTGTCAACTCCAAAGACTTCAATTACTTTCCATGGTACTATTATGCCTCCAAGAATGTCCATGACAAATTTCATGCCTTGCAGAACAAGTTTGCACAATCAATTGCCCAAATGCCTGAAAATCAATTGTACTAGGTCAAAAGTCAATTGTGGCCTATATACAGTCAAACTTCAAGATTTTTTGTCAACAACATCGTTTTGAAGTGATAATCATCATTTGATCAAGGATTACCATGATTCCTCAAGAAATGCTCCTAATTCATCAAAAGTCAAATTTGCAAAATTAGGGTTTCTATAGGAAAAGTCAACTTAACTTTGACTGGGCATAACTTTCTCATACTTTGTACATTTGGCCCCAACCAAAGCCCATATTGAATAGAATCCAACTCCCTACAATCCATATTTTATCTTCAAGTTCAAGAAGTGCACCATTTGAATGATGCAAGCTCATACATTATATGTCATTTTCAAAAAGTCAATAAAAGACACTTTATGTCCAGACCTTTTACATCAAGATAACATCTTCAAATGCAAAAATGATCAAAAGAGGGATTGAAGTAGACATATTGAGCTTTCCAAAAAGTCTAATATCATCTCCTTGGGATAAAAGTTGAGAAAGTTATGGTCTTCCCAAGTTGGAAAATTTTTGGAAAATTAAAAAATCCTACATCGAGCAAAGTTGAGTTTTCAAGGCATTAACTCATTTATTTGAGTTTTAAACTTCTCCATGGCATATTATAGGACCCATAAGCTCTTCCCCTTGTGGTCTTACTTTTTATCCATTTAATTGGATTTATTTTCAATAAAACATGAAATAAGTGGTTTAAATAACAAAGGGGGTGTATATCACAAATGGGCTTGGAATTATCTTGCACAAGGTCCCAAGCCACGCAGAAAATGATGTCCAGGTTCATCCCCTTCAAGAAATGGCGCAAAAGTTATTTTGGGCAAGTTTTCAAATTTTGCATTATGGTTCTTTAAAACATCAATTTGGCAAGTTTTTGAATATTATATCAATACTTCATTACAAGGCATTATGGCATGGATTTTGCATTCAAGACCATTGCTTCCTTCCCTACTATATATATTGGACCATTTTCAAGCATTAGAAAAGGAAGAAAAAAAAGACACTTACCACTCTACAGAAGCCCTCTCTCAAACTCTCCATTTTCATAAATTCGTCAAAAATTTGCAACCGCACTTACAAGCTGTTTCGTGGAAAACTAACACTTTAGTCATTCTCCCAGCATTCCCAGGAACTGATCCAGGCCATCCCTAGGCCCTTGCACGACCAAGAACACTACGTATCTGAACCTGTGTATTTGGTAAAAAAAATTAATTCGAATTTCATTTATCTGTACATTTTAATGCCTTGGTTTGTTTGAATGTTGCACAGGACCTAAAACTATGAGGTTTGGGCGTGAGAATAACAAGGTTTGATCCTGAAATCCAATCGTGCTATAGCTAGGACACGATCTGCATTTCGTGCTCATAGCGCAGGATATAGGCCCATTTATTTTATTTTTTTGTTCTATTCTTTATGTTTTATTTCTTCTTTTAATTTTATTTTTATTAATTAACCTTAAAACCAAAAAAATCACAAAAATAATAATTAACTTTTTTAAATAAATCATTAATTAATTAATTAGTTAATATTTTCCTAAAGTAATGATTAAGTAGAACTAGGTTTTATATTTCATAATTCTTATTTTCTTTAATATTCAAAAATCAAAAAATATTAATTAGGTTTATTTTATGTTATTAATTAGACTTTAATTTAATATTTTCGTAAATTAAAAACCAAACAAAAAAACATGCCTTTTCTTTTCTTAAAACTATTTCAAAAAACATCAAAAAGTTTCCTTTACCCATTTTCCTATTTCGCGTGCATTTTCTTCTTTCACACTTTTATATTCTTGTACATATCAATGTAGCCAAACTATAAGACATTTTTATTGTTTTCCTTTATATTTCTCCCGGTTTTGGACTTGTAATTAAATCCCTCTCCCTGAAGCCATGTATAGCGTAGGAATTTACGTTTCCGCACTTTATATTTTTGTACATATATAAACTGTTAGATGTATGGCTAATAGGATTGCATGAATAAGATAAAACCAATCGCTAGAAAACTAAACACAAAGACTAATATATCTGAAATCAAATACACTCACACATACGCACCCCTAGGGTATCACCACTTCGGTTGCCTTCGGTAAACGATCATGAAGCATAGGGAGTTTTAGTGGTCACCCTCTAGTCCAAAAAAAGATCAAAATGACCCATTCGAATGTTGCCTCGGAAAGATCTTTATGACTTTAGGGTAATTACTAAAGTTTCCTAACCATTGCTTTTGTGACCGTAAAAACATCCCTTTCGATTGTCCCTTAAACTCCAACGATGGGGCTACCTACTCCTTAATAGTAGGATATCGCTGTCTAAAGGAAATGAGAAAAAACGAACAACTTTTTTTTTCCGAGTAGGTAGATAGTTCCTAGGTACTTACTCAAAAATCTCAAAATATTTTCACACAAACACTTTCAAAACAGTTTTCAAATACAACTTCGTCACACTCTCGAGGACAGAAACAAGAGTTATCATGAATTAAAACATTTTTTTTTCAAAACACACGCACAAAGAAATTTCAAAATGAGCAAAGTGCTTAAGAGCCCGTGGAAAACCACAGATAGAAAGGGTGCTAATACCTTCCCTTTCTATAATCTACCTGTCATACCCCAAATTTTGACCCAAGATCCCTGCTTCATTTGCATTGTTTTATATATACATCAAGGTCACAAAATATGGTAGGTTTCAAACGTTTCACCATCGAGCTTTGACTGTGTAGAGATTATCGAATGTTGTGAGCATTTTATCTTATGAATGACTAACCACTAATCAAGCACGAAGTGTATGTTTTGTTTTTTTGATTTCATGTGCAGGAAATAGGCCTGAAAGAAAAAATCATCGGACGTCGCACATCAATTAGGGTTTCGAGTCTCGGGACAAAAATGTGATCGATCGTTGATTCTCAAAGGCTGGTTCATCAAGGAATTTCAGAGAATCATATGTTTATTTCCACACTCGGTCCAACAGATGGTCTCAAGCGTCTCTGAAAATTTTCAGAAAGAACAATCGAAGTTCTACTACCATTGGTTCATGTGTGTTTCACATTGCTTTAAAATACAAGAAAACCAAGCTTTACCAGTCATTTCCGATCACTTCGACCAAAAGTCATCTGCAAGTTTTCTCATGACGCTGGTGAATTTCGTCAAAATGGGATGACTAAATTCAAAACCGTTCTAGAAGAATTTATTTGGAATACTTGGAATTTTCTTTATTTGAATTCAAGTGATAATTAAAGAGGAGCTACCAAGAGATCTCATTCAAGAATAATCATTTATCGCATGAAATATTTATTCAAGATTATTTTGTGTGATTATTTTGGTGGATTTACATTATGGTCATTTGAACACACATGAAGCATTTACTAAGGAGATATTAGAAAAAGAAATTCGATTCAAATAATCGTTCATCACAAGATTAATTACATGATGGTTGCTATTTGATTACAAAAAAAATTCATGTGATTTATTTAGATCTCTATTACAAAATTCAAGATTAAAGTCTAAGGCTTGCATTATCATTTATTCATCATTCAACAATTTATTCAAGTATTTTTCAATTCTTTCCCAATTCAAATGGAAGACCTTGAATTTTTATCAAGACATATCAAGATTCAATTTCAAATTAAAATTCAAAGTTATTTACAATTACAAGGGAATTGAGAATATATTGAAGAATACAAATTCATTCATGTTACAATTTACTTGGATTTATTGTTGCAAAGTTACAAAAGAATTCAAATTTTGTACATGAAAATCAAGCTATTGTTCTTGCTACAAAACAATCCCAATGCTGCCCAATTTTCCAACACTGTTTTAATCAAATAATAGTCCAATTCTTGAGTATAATGTTATCCATTTTCTCCAACCTTGTTTCAAAAAAAACCATGCCAAGTTTCTGTCCTAATCTGCTCTGCAAAACAGTCTAAAATGCAGCCCATAAGACAAAAATCTGCACCTTTGCTGCTACAAAAATCAGTCTACAAAACTCCAAACATTGCACTAAAATGCATACTTCAAAAAGCTGTCTCATAAAACATCAAAGCAGAGCCTAAAATAGTTCAAATCTCTACTATTTTCCCCCCTAAAACCCCATATATTTCACTATAAATAAGGGCCTCTATCAACAGAAAAAGCAGGAGTTTTTTTCCAAGAATCACACTAAAAAAATTCAGCAAGTGCAACACAAAGAAAAAATCAAAAAATACATACAGAGAGAAAAATTCAGAGGGAATCATACATAGAAAATTCAGCAAGTGGAACACAAAACTCAACAAGAAAAATACAGAAATTCAAGGAGAGAAAACTTAACGTTTTAAAGCCCCATCGGAGAGGCTCCGATATGTATTTTTCTTCCTCTCTATTTACTTCTGCATAACTTCCTCATTCACATGTTTGAATCTTCTCTTTACACCACTTTTATGCCATGTGAATGCTTGCTTCATCGTACCTCTTTGGCTGTGTTTTGATTCGCTGCAATATATGGATATTTAGAAATTTTGGAAATCATAATAACAGTAATAAAAAAAGTTCAGAGATAAAAATATACCTTTAAATTTCTCTATTCAAATACTCCCATCTACCTCCACCATCTTCAGTTTTGGAGAGCAAAAAGTTGTCAAGATCTGGCAGCTATTCTTGTCTGTTTCTGTTGGTCTTTGGGCAGGGCTTATCATTGGTTTTGTTACTGAATACTATATTAGTAATGCATATAGCCTTGTGCAAGATGTTGCTGATTCCTGCAAGACTGGAGTTGCTACCAATGTTATCTTTGGCCTTGCTTTGGGATACAAGTCTGTTATCATTCCACTTTTTTCCATTGCAATTAGTATTTTGTTAGTTTCAGTTTTGCTACCATGTTTGGTGTTGCTGTAGCTGCACTTGGGATGTTTAGTACTATCGCAACGGGATTAGCCTTTGATGCATACGGTCGAATCAATGATAATGCCGGAGTTATTGCTGAGATCGTTACCTTCTTCTACAGAACTGCACCCTGTAACATCACCAACTTATTTCCTCCCAAATAATTCACTCAAACCGGGTCCGAAATACCACCACAAATGCCTTCCTCCACAGCCAAAAACCTTTAACCTCCACTGTGAAAATAGCCACGGAAGCCAGCTTCACTCAGTTCCATAACTGTTGAACCACATACTTCTTCTGTATTTCCATTGATTTCCAGACGCAACTTTCAACTCCCTTCGATTTGAAATAACAACTTGCTACTTCATCTTCATCTTCTAAACCTCACCTTATAATCCACTCCTCTACCTTCTGCCTCACGCGTACCACCACCTTACCGCCTTCATCTACGACCAATATTCCTCTATCGCATCTTGCTCGTTCTTGTTCAATATCATCAAACTTCATCCTCACAACATCATACAACCACCAATTAACAACACACAAACCAGATCTATGGATCAACACCACAATACACAGAGTTTGACGAGAGAACATTCCCACAGAGAAACCTACCGCTGTCAGGTCGTTCTTCTAAGCATGAACCTATGGATGGTTCTCGTAAGAGATTGGATCCAATTGATCAGTCTAAGTTGTCGAAACATTAATCACAACCGTCGAGATCTCGATCTTATAATTAGTTTGGTCAAAGCACTGGCCATATGGAAGCTGATGAAAAAGTCTATACTCAAATTAAAGAGGATAATCAAAGGGTGGGGACAAGTCAAAGTAAAGAGCAAAGAGATGATAAATCATTGGCTAAGCTGGATGAGAAGTTTCAGAGAAGAGATAGTTTTACAAGAGGAAAAGAGGAAGATGACGGTGATGAATCAATTTAGCAAGAGAGAGAGAGAGAGAGAGAGAGAGAGAGAGAGAGAGAGAGAGAGAGAGAGAGAGAGAGAGAGAGAGAGAGAGAGAGAGAGAGAGAGAGAGAGAGAGAGAGAGAGAGAGAGAGAGAGAGAGAGAGAGAGAGAGAGAGAGAGAGAGAGAGAGAGAGAGAGAGAGAGAGAGAGAGAGAGAGAGAGAGAGAGAGAGAGAGAGAGAGAGAGAGTCTCGTTTTCATTTCACAGTACAGCATAAGAAGCTAAGCTCATGGTTATAATATTTTTTTTTTCTGTTTGTCTTCCCAAATAATAATATTTAATCTGCATTTTTCCTTCCCCATAAAACAACAGTATTATTTAATTCTATCTATTCCTTTCTCAAGACAGCTATCATGACGCCTCTCTCTTGGCATATTAGGGTTACCAACTTTTCCTTTGTTCTATTTTCCAACTGGGTCAGCCCTTTGGGCCTTTTGGCCCAATCCAATTATCTATTTTCCTTTATTTCTTAATTAAAACATAGGAATAATGAATAAACAATATAGTTCAGTCGGCAAGGCACGTTTACAGTAATCTAGAGGACCCGTGTTCAACTCTCAACTAGGCCATTTTTTTTTTGTTTTTCTTGATTCTTTTAGCTATTATTTCCCATTTTCATTAATATATGATAACAATATTAATTTTGTTAATTCATATAATTATTTCATTATAAAATACAAAAAAATATGTTTAATTCAAATTTTATCTTTTATTTAATTTTTGTCAACATGTTATTAATCTTTTATTTAATTTTTCGTTATTTATCTAATTATTCAAAAACACATGCTTTTTTTAATAATTTAGTCTTTATTTAATTTTCGCCATTTATTTAATTATTCAAATACATGCTAATAAATTATATTTATTTAATTTTTGTTTATTTAAATATATGCTTAAATTAATCACTTATTAAATTTTTGTTATTATTTTTGTCGCTCTAATTAACTTTATTCTCGATTGTTTAATTTTTACATCGTTCGTCCGTCTCAATTCCAAGGGAAATGTTTTAATTTTGTTGACTTCATGTCATCAAAATACATCTTATACGATTGTGCGAATACCTTCGTTTATTTTTTGTTTACTATTTTGCTAAACTTAAGTCAGCTTTCCTAAAAGATTCAATTTTAAAACTCACAACCCTTTAATTCAAAACTTCGACACTAGGTCGTCGTATCTTCCAAATCTCGTCCACACCCATTTTATCCAAACAAACCATTTTAATCAAACAAACAATTTTAATAAACGGATATTTCAAAAGGTTCCTATAGGATACTATAGATGCATTGGATGCTAATACCTTCCCATTGCATAACCAACCCCCGAACTCTAGATCTCTTTTCAAAATGCATTGTATTTTTATTATTTTACATTGCATATTTTAGGGTTTTATTTCCCTCTTTTCCATTTTCCCTACAGAAATGGTGACTCTGCTGGGGATAGATTGACCTCTTGCTGGTCCATCCCTAAGTGGGTTAAGCCTAGTTTGTCTTATCTGTTTTATCATTATTTGATTGTTTGATTATACGTTTATATTGTGGTTATTTGGGTGTTAATGATATTTACAAAGGACAAGTCCTATACCCGGACTAAGTTACACTTAAGAATAGGACGAGCGGTATAGTCATATTAACTTTGAGGGAGTAATCCCGAAGAAGGAGGCATTAAATCCCCCACTCAGTGGAAATCCCCTTTGAACATAGTATTTGTTTACCGAGTAATCGGGAAGACATTATTGCTTTTGACCTGGGAGCCAGAGAAAATGAGAACCGTAGAACCCTAACCTATCTTGTCCTTTTAGATATAGCACGGAGACTATAACAGAGTAATCCGGAAGTAGTTGTCATGCGATGCTACACTCAGATGAGTTTCTCTTGAGAATATTTCTAATTATTGAGTAATCAAGATGTTGGTAATATCCGAAGGAGGAATGTAGACTTTGGGAACTCTTAGAACCTTGTCTTGCAGGTGTGATTAAACCTTTAGGACATACCCTGGGGGTGGGCTTTACCTTTGACTCCATGCTCGAAGCATTGAACCTTTGAACCCCCATGTTTGTGAACTTATGTGTAATTGTTTCATTATCATTCATCCATACATCCATAAGCATTTTTTTAAAACATATTTTTTAAGGAACTTAAGAATGATTTTTGCAGACATCTCAGGTACCGTTACTATGGATTTTGGAAAAATAAACACTTGGAGTTATAGTTTTAAGGAGCCTTAGATTGAAGAGTTGAAGAGTTTGATTCCTAAGATTGAGAACCCTATGGAGTTTCAAAATAAATATGTATTCATTATCCCTCTCATGAAGCGCAAGATGAAGGAAGGCATCCTTAGTACGTTCGTCTAATTCTATGATCCATTGTATCAATGCTTCACCTTTCCTGATTACCAGTTAATGCCCACTTTAGAAGAGTACTCCTATATACTTAGTTTGCCAATCACCGACTGTGTTCCTTTCTCTGGTTTAGAAGAGGAACCCAAATCTCACGAGATAGCAACAATCACCCACTTGAGGAAGTCAGAGATAGAAGAGAACATGACTACTAAGAGGGGAATCCGAGGCTTACCTGCACAGTTTTTGTTGAAGAAAGCTCGTCACTTCACTGAGATAAAAGATATTGTTGCCTTTGAAGGTGTCTTTGCTTTACTTGCTTATGGATTGTTCTTGTTCCCTAACATCGATAAGTTCATGGATATCAACGCCATTAGAATCTTCTTGATTGGAAATCCGGTCCCTACGTTGCTAGGAGATACCTTCTATTCCATCCATCTTCGAAACTCCTATCAAGGAGGGATGATTACCTGTTGTACACCGTTGCTATACCAGTCGTATATTTCTCATATACCTAGGTCTGATGTTTTTTGGGATCTCGAGAAGGAGCCGCGATGGGCGCCAAAAATTATGGCTCTTACTTATTCCGATATAGATTGGTATAATCGAGCTTACTACGACGTGACGGTCATTGATAGTTGTGGTGTTTTTCCCAACGTGCCTCTTCTTGGTACAAAGGGAGGAATTAACTATAATCCTGTTCTCGCGCGCCGCCAGTTTGGATACCCAATGAGGGACAAGCCGAACAACATTCATGTGAGTGGTTTCTTTCTACAAGAAGGAAAAGATCACAAAGCAGCTAAGGAGGAGATTGAAAGGGATTGGCATCACATCCATAGAAATGGGAGAGACATGTTAAGGCATAGAGGTGCTGTTTCTTTGGAGCCTTATCTTCAATGGGTTCGTGCTAGGGCTTGTGCTCTCAGGATGCCTTATAATCCCGAGAAACCTTTATTCCATGTTGCTACATCATAATCTATTGATATCCCTATTGAGAACATGAGAGAGTATCAAGAAAATCTGGCTAGAATGAAGTCTGAAACAGATGCTTGGAAGGAAAAGTATAAAATGTCAGAATACGAAAATAGGGTCCTGACTCGACAGTTGAAGGAGAAGGAGGATATGCTATTTATTCAAGACGGTTGGTTTATTGATCATGATGAGAAGCTTCGTTAAAAGGATGCATTACTCAAGAAATATGCTAATGAAAGGAAGAGAAAGAAGGAAGATTTGGTAGGCGTTGCTCTTGTTCTTAATCCACGGAAGGAAATCATTGATCAACTGGTAGCTGAGAAGAAAGAGATGGAAAACTTCTATGAAGGGAAGATTAGGAAGCTCCAGTTACAATTGGCATTTGGTCCTCCATCCGATGATGATTCTGAGTGACCTTTAGTTCCTAGTTTTTTATTATTATTACTTATGTCATTTGGTAAAACTCTGTAAAAGGGCTTCATGATCCAAAGTTGTAATTTACTACTTTTCTTAATGGGTTTTGTTGTCCCAAAGTTGTAATTTACTGTTTTTATTAATGGGTTTTGTTGTCCCAAAGTTGTAATTTACCGCTTTGATTAATGAAATGAGTTTTTGTTGTTCCAAATTCCTTTACCATTGATGTGTGCAAAGTTATCAAAGTTCTAAAGCTCCTTGAAAAACTATCAAAATAAATGATCATTTGCATCGCATATCATGCATCACCCAACATTCAATTTCGCATGTTTTCTAGAGTCTTATTCTTGTTTATTTTTCCACTCCGATAGATTGTCAAGCTGTCTCACCGGTACAATACCCGAGCCAATCGTCAAAAGAGGATGGAGGATCTGGAGCAGGAAAATCACGAGCTTCGCGAAGAGGTTACTACTCTTCGTGTTGGAATGGAAAAGTTAACCGCGTTGGTGGAAAGCTTGATGGCTGCTCGGAATCAGCTATCGACTTCAGCCGCTTAAATTCAAACTTCAACTATTGTGGTTTCCGAGATCGTCACCGTTCTAACATCTTTGACTCAGGTCAACTCTCCGCTCCAAAATCAAATGCCGAAAGGTTTTCCGTGGGGTATGCCTTACAACTTCATTCCAGAAGGGTACCAGCCTGCTGTACAACCCATGATTCAACCTGTTGTGTCCTTTCCTCAACCTGAGACAACTACTGTGCAACCTGTAATCCAGCCTATGGTATCTTTCCCTCAGCCTGTGATGACTACTGCCGCTCTTGTGGTTCACACTATTCTATACATAAATGAACCCATTTATCATGCTGAACCTACTGAAAGTTTGGGCCTCTTCGATAGGATGGAGGAGTTCCAA